CATGTGTCAACAGGTCATCTCGAGATGCATTGGAGCTGGAGATTTCAGATTTGTGATAAGATAGTGTGGTTATGTTGGTATTAAACAATTCAGCATAAAAACACAACAGCATTTGAGGTAAAGGAAGAATATTAAGCCGATGATTAAATTGTGGGTCTAAATTATGGCAGTATAGATTAAAGCAAAGAGTTCATAAAGAAATACAATTTAAAATATATGATAATCAAATAAAGTTAAATTAAAAGAAAAAAGAAAAGTCAATGTACAACACAATATGGTACTAATTGCAATTCAAAATTAAAAAATAAAGCCATCAATTTTATTTCAATATGAATTCCAAATTAAAATCACCAACATTAGAAACAAAATAAATAGATAAATAAATAAATAAATATGAAAGAAAATGTAAATTTTGCATTGACAGTTTTTATATAAATATCTGAAGTTACAATTAAAATACCAAAAGTATAGTCCATGTAAAAATATTAGAGTTATTTTAACTATAAATTGAAAAAATAAAACATTAATTGATTCCACTGAGAAGTTCATAGAAAATGTCTAAAACACTAAGAATTGGTATAAAAAAATTGCAAACATTACAAATTTGAACAAAAGAGTCCATACCGATACCATTCAATGGAGAATATAGCTGAATCTTTAATATGAAAATTAGCAATTGAATTGCCATGCAAATTTCATAAAATTTGTTGAATGTTATAATCTGAATATAGATTAAATATATTAATGAATAATGCATGTTAAACATGAATAAATAAACATAGGGAATAAATAAATTACATGTTAATTGGAACATCAGGCATAAAATATATATATGATCAAGTTGGACCAGAGTTTAAAGTTATATTGTCATCTTTTAGTATTTTCCTTTCACAATAAAATGTGTAAGTATATCTATTATGTATGAGAAATTTTGTAATGTGCTAGCCGTGCAATCTGCAAGGTCACCACTCTTGCTTTGTCAATCAAGTCGGAGATCGGCTTGGCACAGAGAGGCGCAGCCGATGGCAACGGAGGCCGGCTCGATGCGAGAGGCGCGGGCGGCGGAGATGGAGGCTGGCTTGGCGCGAGAGGCACGGCCGGCAGTGGAGGAGGCGACCTAGGTGTGAGGAGGAGCTGCCAGTGGGTGGCGCGGTCTTGGACACACGAAGGCTGGCCGGCAGGGGATGCCGGTGCAGGGGTCCCACATGTTGGCAGAGCTTGTGTGGTGGTGGAGCATCGGTGCGTCAGCCGTGCATTCGCAGGTGGTGAGCGGCGGGTGAAAACCCAGTCCGGCCTTGGCCGGACCGACAATGATGGTTCATTTCCCCTCCTGAGGGCGTTGTTGCTGTCTCACCCCTCAAGGGTGATTGCCGGGCGAAAGCCCAGTCTTGGCTCCTTTGAGTCCCGACGGACGGCGGCGGCGGTTTTTCCGTCGCTTCTGTTCTTGAAGACGTTGTTTTGGCATCCCCTAGGGGACGATCTCATCTGTGTCCCTTTGTTGGTTTAGTGGAGGTCGGTCACGCTTAGCGGCGGTCGGTCCGGTGCTAACCTTCTCCTGGGCTTGTGTGTTGGCGATGTCGGTATGTGGGTGGTGGTATTTTTTTCCTTTCGCCTGGTTACGACCCTCTAGGGTTGTAATCTTGTAATTTTTTCCTGCTCTATCAATAAAACTTCGCACCGTCTCGTGCGAGTCTTTGGAAAAAGAACCAAGATATTTGCAATTGTTGCGTAGCTAGCGTTTTTCCTGTGTGTAAACAGAACAGAGGGTGCAGATCGAAGAACTAAGATATGTGCATGCTGTATAGGTACATATATGCAGCTGGCCGTCAGTCATCAGACGTAAAGGTATTCAGAGAAAACAAAATGGCAAGTATTAGACTCAAGAGTGCTCGAGAATACTCTTGGAATAACACATGTACACAATGTCCCGTATAGGAAGGTCAGTACAAATTTGTCCGGCGTGCATATGCTTTGTTGGAATCCCATCGATGGATCGTTTCATCGATCGGCTCCAGCTGAATGCGTACTTTTTTCTAAGAACTTTGCATTGCCTAATTAATTCTAAATCCTGCCCTGGCCTGCAAAGCAACGCTGCAACTTTGAATATATGTAGCTGGAAGAATGTTCGGCGCCGTACGTGAAGTGAACTTGTTAGGTATACACGCTACTTGTTGAGACACAGCTGACACAGTCGTAGTAAACTAATCGTTCAACAGGTCAAACGTGTCGTACTGTTAGGCCGTTAATTAGGCTAACGTATGTGGATGCTAGGGCCCGTTTGTTTGGATGTGCATGCCATACTGATACGGGTAGTATAGTGGTCATGCATCCTTTTAAATGTATGATTTTTTGTTGTGTGAAGATTGAACTGATTTACATGAAAATTCAGAAAATTTATGTGTCTGAACTCCGAAGGTAGTGAGATAGATTGGGGGAAAAATTGATGATTTGTCATTGAGAGTTGTTTGGTGTTTGATCGAGTTCAATTCTAGTACATAATGGTATTACGTTCAGACGGGATGATACCTCAGAGGTATCTTCTATACCTGGGTATCATCCGATACCTATTAGGTACCAGACAATACCTCAGAGGTACCATCCCGTTCGAACGGGGTATCAGCTGACATCTATCAGGTATTAGGCGATGCCTCTGAGGTATCATCTAGTCTTAACCGGATACCGTACATCTTGTAGCATTTCCCTTCTAGTAGCATACTTTTCGGACAGAGAAAGTGGAACTATTTAGCCCTCTACAATAAATCTCATTAAAGCCTAAACTAGGATAGCGATGTTCAATTGGGCATATTGCATACTCACTCTGTCCCATAAAAAACAACATAATACTGGATGTGACACATACTAGTACTACGAATCTAGATATACATCTGTCTAGATTCATTGTACTAGAATATGTCACATCCGGCCCTAGATTTGTTTTTTATCGAACGTTCCCTCCCTATGTCTAGTTATAAGGACTTTTGGAACAGTGTAGAGTTAAACATTTTTCAAGTTTTACTATCGGTGAAAAAAAAGGAAACATAGATTAATTTCGTAAGAATATTTTTACTATTAAATATGTAACTCTTTATTCTTAAAATAATTTATTTTATAGATATTATTTGTTAAAGTAGTATATTAAAGACCATGTCAATAGTGTTGTATATATATTTGTACGTGGAGGGAGTAGCAACAAAGTTGGTGGCCACAAGATTGGCAAATGTTGCCATGGTCTCTCAAGGCCTCAACCAAACAATGGTCAAGTGTGTAACTTGTACTCTCTCCGTCGTATAAAAGAAAATCTAGTATAAAATATGATATACATTCTAATACTATAAATCTATCTAGATTTATAGTACTAGATGTACATCTCGTATTAGGTTTGTTTTTTAGAAACGGAGGGAGTACGTATTCATTTCGAGTAGAATCTAGAAGAGATATATGTTATGTAATACAAACAAGGCTTAGAGCTTGATCGATGGGCTCCTTGAGGCCCTGTTAGGCATAAGAAATAAGTCTATTTGACATCCCTTACTTCTTGCCCAGGTTGAATGGCCCCCTCAACTGTAAAATCGGATATAATATTTTCTCATCTTTAAAATCTGGTGTAAATCGTCTCTTTCGGTGATTTCAGAAATGGTTTTATCCTAAGTGGTGCTCATGGGACCCATACCTGTCCGTGAGAAAAAAATAAAAATTAACAACTCCACATGGCAGTCATTCTAATATTTTGTGTCCCTTCCCCCTTCTCGCTCTCGCCAAGAACAAAAACTCAGTGGTGCTGAGTGGATTCTCTCGAAAGGAATCTTACCGCATTAGCAGGGGAGGATTCAGCGTGGGTGCTAGGGGGACTCGAGTCCCCCCTACCCCGCTGGATCACCATTGATAGAAGTGGAGATGAAAGGGAAAAAATAGGAAGAAAATGAAGAGTAGGGGGACTGAAGAAGGAAGAAGGAGATGAGTCCCCCTTAAATCTTGTTCTGGATCCGCCCCTGCCCATTAGCAGCAAAAGATTTTTCTCGTTTGGCTTGACCAAATTTGTTGCCATGGGTTCAGTTCTTTGCTCGCCAATAATCCGCAGTTCGTCGTAATCGAGACCATGCGAGAGGAGTCACCGGGATTTCTCGTCGCACCCTTTCGATTGGCCGCAGCTAGGATCGCAAGGTTCGTGACCCCTTTCGATTGAGGCGGAGCGCATCGAGGAGCAGCCCAGCGCGCGTGCGTCGCATTGGTCGAGCGAGACGCGAACAAGAGCGACGGGGTCGTCATGGACTCCGGCGGCGGAGACGGCGTCGGCGCCGTCTGCTTCGGCGCGACGCTTCACGTGCACGAGCCGCTCGCACAGGAGGCGACGCTACGGTAGTGTGAGCTCGGCGTGGTCGACGCGAGCAGCGGCGCCGACGCCGCGAACACGGGGTTCGTCTGCGGCGGCCGCGACCTCGCGATCGATGATCCGCTCCCCCTTCCTTGAGCTCGTGCGTCCTCTCTTGCCACCGCAGCTTCCACGAGCTCCTGCTCCGCCACGACCTTGTCGAGTCCCCCGTCTCAGAGAACGAGGACGGAGCTGGGATGCCACCACCACGGCCTCCCCGAGCTCCCGCGTCCTCCTTCCACCGGTGGCCGACGAGAGAGATAAAAAGAGAAGAGAGAGGAAGAGAGAGAGAGGGAAGAGGAGAGTCTATGACATGTGGGTTCGACACGTCAGAAAAACTACTTTCCAAATTACCTAAAGGGTTAATTTACACAAGTTTTGTAAAATGGGGGAAACGTTATATCCGGATTTGTAATTGAGGGAGACAATTCAACTAGTTTTGTAAGATGGGGGAAACGTTATATCCGGTTTTGCAATTGAGGGAGACAATTCAAACAGGGGGCAAGAGATGAGGGAGGTAAAATAGACTTATTTCAAGGCATAAATGTGACAAACAATGTCTGTTTTTACTGCGATTTATGCGTGAATGCGTCAGCCAATGCATGTCCTACGATACATGCGTGAATGCATGTGCAACGCCAACGCAACGAACGAAACAAGAGAACGTACGGTTTCACCTCGAATTCGCAATGATCATCATATTACAACAACTTGATTTCGATGCCATCCATGGCGACAGTCTAATCAGAGCTCGAATTTTTAATAGACAGGAGATTAAAAAACCGTACATGTATTTACTGCATCCATAGCCCCTCTTCCCTCTAACCACAGCTCAGTTGTGGCAGACCTTGGCGGTGGGCATGGTGACGCAGATCTGCGCGTACTTCTTCTTCGCCTCGGGCGTCCCGCGCTTCACGTCCGACTCGGCGAACGCGGCGCTGGCGCCGCTGGCGCCGGCACCGATCGCCGACAGCGCGACGGCCGCGGCCGCGAACATCACGGCGCGGCGGCCCTCGGCGCCGGCGCCGCCCCTGCACCCGCACCCCTCGCCGCAGTGGTGCGCCTCGTGCTGGCACTCGGCCCTGCCGGCGGCCGCCCTCGCCACCGCCAGCGAGCCGCGCCGCGGCGCCGCCGCCGCCGCGCGCCCCGGCGCCACGGCGGAGAGGGACGCCATCATGGTGAGCGACGCCATTGCTGCTGCTGCTGCTGCTGCTGCTTCTTCCGCTGCTGCGTGTGATGCGGTGAGCTGGGTGGTGGCGGCTTTTGGCGGCGCGGGGGTGTGTATGCTTGGTTATTAAGGTGAGGATTTCGGGGAGGGAGAAATGCCTTATCCCGCGTGGGCGCCGCTCAGCCAGTGGAGAGGAGCCACGTGGCGGTGGGTGGTGACGTGGCGGGGCGGGAGGGGGGCGTGGCTGGATAACGCGGGATGTTTGGGTGGATTCGGATAACGAACGGGCGGACCGCACGGAGGCGATCAACTGATGCAGTGAGCCAGTGAGGCAGTGATGCTTCCACTGGTCGTGGTCTCGTGGGGGCAAAAGCATAGCTCGCCGTGAAGGATTACGCCAAGTTACAAACATGCGATCAGTAGTAACTACTCATTTTATTTGTCGAGCGATAGCAGAGCAAGAAATCACAAAACAACAACATTTACATACAAAACCGGTAGTGCTAATCTTGCTTAGAAATCACTCAAGTTACAGCAATTACCATTTGGAAATCTTGAATCAATGCAGGAGGCCAATCTCTGCTCGCCTCCCCAACACTACACTACTGCATGTTTACAAACTGAGCGAGCCGTGAAATATATCGGAGGAAAAAAATGCGTGTTGACGACTACGGTAGCCGTGAGCCCATGAAGACAAACCTGAACTAAATTCTCGACGAGAAAATTTTCTATGCTCCTAATGCTCTTACATGTAAAGAAGATGATAACTGGAACCATCTAATACAAAGTTCACCATCTACTAGCTAAGTTACAAAACTTGGGCAGAAAAATCGAAACCACGCCCAAAAGTTAAACTCTAACAAAACTGAAAGTATAATGTCGATCTCCAAACAAATGGAACAATTACATAACTTTCCTTGAGCTTAGTTGCCGAGATGAGACCTCAATATCTTTTGTGAATATATTTGTGAGGGCGAAAAGCAGCAACACAAAAACTACTTGGGCACTCACGATTCCGAAATGGCTGATGCTATTGCCAATTTCCATCCAACTCCCCGTATTTCGAACCTGTGGGTAAAATGAAGAACATTTGGCTTACAATTTTCTGTACAAGCAAGAGCTACAGCACAAAGTACTATAAAGGATAATTCAAAGTACACAGGGGAAAAGAACACATACCAGGAAAAAGAAATGAATCGTCATTACATCAGACAGCAGTATTACAAGGAAATAACAGCCCAGCCGTGGTATACGTACAACCTTGGTTATGGCACTAAATGTACATCTGCAATAAGTCGCAACATATGAATCAGCTTAATCACAAATTGCATCTAATCTGGTGGCTCATCTTTGTTTATGTTTTCCTTTACTATTATGCTTCAGAGTTCAGAGTAAGGAATAAAAAGGAACTCTAAAACAATCTTAAACAGTCCACTAATAACTAATTTGAAGATTACGCATCTTATATTAAATCCCATTAGGATATCAAAACGAAGGTAAAATCAAACACGGTATATTATGAACTGCGGAACAAAAGCATGATGAAGGAATAAAGGCAAATATATATGTTGTCGCTACAACAATTAATCTTCTCCAAACTCTAAATATTGTTCTTCAGATAGCTTATCGCGCACAAAACAAACAAACGTAGAGTGTGGATACATTTTTTAGTTTCGCTAAAAGTATGTATTCTTTTCTTATTTTTGAATCTTAAAACATCACCTATTTTGCAACAAAAAATGATTCAACGTTATATTTTGTGAAGCGGATGTACAGAAGTACAAAATATGTTCAACGTATCAACTTATTTTATCAGCCATTCACCGCAACAGGGCCGGAGGCTGTATAGGGTCATGAGTGTACAGATGTACACCCAAGTTCCTTTACTTCAAGTCAAAACTATGATATTTTTGTTGGGTATACATAATATAATTTTGGCTAAATACCTGTCTTTTCACTAGAAACAACAATTTTCAGCTCATCATATCACATGTAGAACTACTTTTTCATATTTTTTGCTAAAAAAAATTCATGTTTTTATGGAGTATTTAATCGGTTTTGTACACCCATGACAAAAATCTTGCCTCCGCCACTGCACCGCAGGATGGTCCAATATCATAGTAAACACTGAGAAAACTTACATGACAAGCATAAATGGAATGAACAATTTGAAGATAAGAAGTGCTGCCATCAGGAACGGCTGCCAAGGAAAGAGGATGAAAGACGATCAGTAATAGAATAATAGAAAAGAAAACCTAATATTATAGAGAAAGAGGAAATCATAAGACACAAACACTTACACTAAATATTGTAATGAACCGGTACACAGATGAAATTTCAAAGCTTGCAATACTCGCAAAATTCCCAGTTCCAAAGAACGCAACATTAAATAAGATCGTCTGCAAAGGCGGTAAGATACAGAATGTATTGAGTATTTTACATAAATCATAGCAACCCACAATATAACAAGGGAAAGAGAATGTCATCTTACAAATAACAGAGGGATTCGTAGATCAGATAGTTGTAAGCATCTTTCATCATAGCCGAAAATTGAGCCCTCCACAATGCTACTACGGCGTGCAGAACCATTTTGTTCTGAGCAATACAAGTTGGCAGATTCCACAAATATCCATCCCATAAGTACCATTGCAAAAGCACTATAGAAAACCGCTTCATAGCTGCAGATGTCAAGATTTGATGATATATGAATATATGAACATTACGGCAACCAGAACTTGATATATGTGGACACTATAAGAGAAGTTAACAGCATACCCAATAGAGAGCAATAGAAATGGAGGAGCAAATCCCAAGAAGATAGATGTAAGGCGAGATAGAACACTTGATGGTGAAAAAAGTGGTAGCACCATAGCAAAACCTGTCAAAACATAATCAGTTAAAGCACAAAATCAGTACAACCAAAACTCTTAGAATTTTAGCAAGAGCAATAGACCAGGCCATAACATTAACTAAAGAGTAAAGTTGGCCTGTGATTTCAGACAAATCAATTCATATTTAAGCTGCCAGATAACTTTATTTAGATGAAAAAATCTTTGTTAACTGATATATACTTTTTAGAAGATAAAATGACTCTGACTAAGGTCACGGCAACTTCCAATAGGTTGGGATAAATTAAGTTTTGCTTCTTTCTGTGTACCGTGTATATTGGTATGACTCTCCCCTGCTGTTACCCTGAAAGAAGGTGGTTACTGAACATCGTCTGGGGAAGTTCTCAATTCTGTGATATAATTATCCTGATTAAATGGATCGTTGATGCATAAATAAGTTTGCGCTCCCTTTTAATTCCAAGACATGTGCATAAGATTAAGAAATTAAATGACTGTTGCCTTCCATTTATACCACATTGGAAAAGGTGTATCGTTTATTGATGAGAATAATAACGATTATTTAGCTAGGGCAAAGAAGGGGAAAAAAAGGAGTGAAAACTGCCTTGAGGTTCTTGGATGTCTTATATTTGGGAAAGAATTGATAAATCTAGAACGGCTTAGTTTGGAATCAGAGGTACTTCTGTTACAACAATGCTATGTAATCTGAGGGAATATTTATAGTTGTCAATGCTCTGAACAAACCATATTCAAGCTTGGCGCAATGTGCACGCATGTTAGGAAATTGAACTACTAGAGAAGATTATCTGTTAAAGAGCCATTTTCACTTGTAAGTTAACATATCAGATATGGCCCTGAAAAACTGAAAAGGGACATGGACAAGTCAACCAGGGAAACATTGGAGAAATTAGCAGCAGAGATGAGAGGGTGCAGTTGATCATCACTTACCAGCTATTAACCAGTTGATCATCTGGTGCAATGGGTGCAGCTGTTTGTTCTGAGACCGGTGCGAGGTCGATATCCACACCATTATAGAAGATATCGCAACAAATACAACCTAAAGCATTGTAACAGCAGTCAACATTGTTCCAAAATATTACTTCCACAAAACAAATACCAACATCAAGAAAGAATTGCCTGCATTTTTCACCTGAACAAAAAATAGCTTAGAGAATTGAGGATCCCGTTTATTTGCTCGAGTAAGATATAGCCAAAAGTTGTTATTATTTGTGGCCATCCATCTCGATGCCATTGCAGTCAGTATTATCAAGGCCCCACTAAAAATTCTGCATATAAAAATTCATCAGACCAAAGTTTCAACCAAACGCTCGTAATAATTATAAAAAAAATAAGGGCTACCAGCTGCATTAACTCTAGAAAAGAGAATTTTATATGACAGAATGAACACGCAACTAATATTGACAAAATGGAAAAAAAAAAGGAAGGGGGTGGGGGGTTGTCGGCCAAAGAAGCATACACCAAGTTGTTGTTTTCTGGAATTTCAGCTGGCATCAATGTGAATAAAGATAGGAACCAGCATGAAAGCCACACATAGACTGCAAGTGCAGAGCTAGCTTGTATAAATATTGCAACACAAGATGAAGCAAGTATCCCAAGGATCAAAAAGCACCAAGTATAAAGCTTCCTATCAAAGAAGCTCATAACCTGCACAGAAAGCATCGAAATTCATGCCAAATCTAGGTAGTCCTCAAACGCTTCGGGTGCCAATAACAAAAGGTACATACCAGAAACTCCAATATGAACAGCGCAATGACTGAAATGTTCAGAAGATTCATGGTGTACTTGAATGGCATATTAGATAATTCTCTCCATACTGCCTTGATGAATTCAAAATTTTGAACAATTCTTGTCCAAAGGAATATTGTCATAAATAAATAAGCATGATAAAGAAGTGGAGATTTCTCTAAAAGTAGTATAATGGATGAAAAACCCATAATGAAGCATCCAACTATGTATACCTGCAACCAGGAGAGATGAGATAGACCAAAATAGTGTAAGAAAAACACATCAGGATTAATAAGAAACACACACCAATAAAATTCTGCAATATCGAACAGCAACTTTGAACAGTTCACAACAATGAACTAGTATCAAGCCTATACTGTGCACAGAGTTCTACCAAATGCCTGTAGCTCTAGACAGCAGCAAACCTCTTAAATACAATAAGAAGTTTAACAGAACCTAAATTCTGATATATTTTTTAAAGAAAAGGTTCTTGGAAAAATGGATAGAAACAAACATACTGAAGT